GCAGTGATAATTAGATCAGAGGAACTTTTATTAAAGGAGTTCATAAAAAGCTTAAATTCTATTACTTTTGTATTCAAATCCTTGTAGGAATTGCATAAGGATAACCCTGGCGCTGCAGTGAGCTGCTGCTCTGCGTTTCTTCTGCTCCTCTCAACCTGTGGATCTTTCCATTCAGAATGTATATTGTCCCACTTACGTTCTTTCTATTTAACGCATGCAGCACCGTATGTGACGTGGTTTCCCTCTTGATTCTAGAGATAACTTTTAGCCTGTAAAAGACCTTCTGTCTCAACTGTGAAACAAAGATTTTTCAGGAGATGAAGTGCAAACCGGGCAGAGACCCGGGAAGGGAGGATGGGGCACATGGTTCTAGTAACACCAGGCCAAGAGCGCGAGAGCGGGATGAACTACAATCCAAACCCTAATCCCAGGGCAGGCTTGGGCCTTGGTTTGTGAAAGCAAAGCTGTGTAAAAGCCGGAGGGGCGGCTGGGCTTGGCGCTTGGTTCGTGTTTGCCGGCGTTGTTGCTTCCCGTTTTCCCGTTGCTGCTGCCTTTGTTGGCCCCGTGGCCTCACGGCTACCCGAGGATGCGCCGCGAGGCCCCGCTCGGCTACTCGGAAGCCTTTGCTAAATACGAAATACCACTAAAGTGCAGATTTGCAGGAACGGGGTGCGTAGGAAGGTTCTGCTGTTGCAGCAAAGAGGAGTAGAAGATACAGTGGCCTCCTTGTGTTCCTGCCACGTGCTGCTCCCGTCCCTCCTCTGCGCTCAGCCTCCCGTGTGGCTCCTGCTGCTTCCCGAAGAGCCTTTCGGCTGCGTTCGGAACCATCTCCCACGCTTTGACCAAGCGTTTTCCTTTCATCTAGAGGAGCTTGTAAGGGAAGATCCAGTAACAAGGCTGGGTGACCGGTGGTATGTTGGGTCTCCTTTCCGCTTACTTTCTCACCTTACCTAATGATATTAAATCTATAATATGAGGGGAAAAAATAGTGAATATAAATTGCTGAAAGATAGATGCAACTTGGATCTTGGGGGGAGAGGGCCTGGATGATCCCTTGTGGTCTCTTCTAGCAGTATTTTATCACATTTTTTTTTCTTCCACCCTCTTTTCCAAATCCAAAGCAACTTAATTATTTTTCTCCCTTCTTGCAAATCTTTTCTTCCATCCATGAAAGAACAGGAGTGTTGGGAGAGGGCCCAGGCTTTCAACTTAAAGCCCTTTGGGATGTTTCTCAATGTCGTTGTGTCAAAAACATTTTCAAATTGGTGGCTCTGCAGTCAATGCAAATCCTTCAGCAGATCCGTGAGTAACAGGCACTCATTGTGAGAGCCCTTAAGCATTAACAGGCCATTAAGGGCTTCCTTTCTCTCTGTGTCTCAGTTCTATTTTTAACAATATAATCAGTCTATATTTCATATTGTTTTTTAAGTGGTCTTTTAAACTCCCTTCTTCTGAGTTTCTTCTCCTGTATATCTACGAATTTGAATTAAAAATAGAAACATACCCAGAATGGAAGATACAGTCCACGTACTGAGTGAGACCTCTTTGTCTCCTTCCCCCATCTCTATTAAGACAGGATTACTCAGTCTTCTGAGTATTTCTTTACTCCAGGAGATAATTTTGAAGTGAAAAAGTATTGCTGCCTGCAAATGGAGTGGCTCCCTTTTTCACTGCCCAAGCAAAAGTTCAGAAATGCCCCTTAAAAACGGCACCGCTCTGGAGCACAAGCAGCAAGTTCTTATCAGCTGCTTATTATGTTCTCTATAAATTATAAGTATTTGTGCTGCTTCTTCAATTCCATTTGCATGGGTCTCCCAGTTTATTTCTGTTGAGATTTTGGTGGTACTTCTCACCTTTTTAGGCCCCTGTCTCTTGTAGGGCTGGGGAGGAAGCTTTTTGAGGGAGCTCCGAGCGTTGCAGCAGCCTGAGCTCAGCAGATGCTGGAGTTACCCCTGCAAGAGGAGGATGTTGTTCTTAGGGGTTTCTGGGTCACTTATTTCGTGGAGGGGACACCTGATTGCTTGCATAATTATTCTGGCAAGATGTTTAAACTGGTGCTGAAGGCTGTTGTAATGATGTCTTTCTGAAAGGTTTTGTATCCAAGGCACCAAGGCACTGGTATATAAATAGTGTGAATGATGCCAAAAATCTTATTAGTTTGGCAAACCCAGTAGCCGTCTGAAAGCAAAGGGTAGTTCATAGGATAAAAATAGGACAGTGCGCCCAAAGCTTGACTCTCTGCAGGCTATCACAACTCATTGGGAGCCTGCTTGTAGCAACAGTAATAGCAGAAACATTTCCCAGGCTGTGACTTGGGTTTTCCTCGGGCTTCCTCCCGCAGGCAGCGCTTGTGCAGGATCCCTGTGCGCAGGTTGTAAGGAGAGGTGAAGCTTGCAGAGCTCTCGGCGTGAGTAAAAATGGCTCTATGCAACTGAAATGAGAAAATGGCTGCAAATGTTGGGCTTTTATTAAGAGGTTCCAGCTCATCCGCATTTGAAGCTGTAATGCATTTGGAAACCTAAGCAGAGCTGTTTTACTCTAGCTAGTTCCAGTAAAGCAGCCCAGGATGCATGGGAACCACAGGGATGTTACGCACACTATTGGCTAACCCTTACTGAATTTTAGTTCTTAAGTATGATTTTTAGCCTTATTCCAACTATTTTAGGTTAGATTCAGGCACAGCTGCAGCCAGGTCATGCCCAGAGGTGCCCGTGGTGCTGGGAAGGTGTCCTGCAGGCTGGAGGAGCCAGGGCTGTCTTGCCACTAAGCTCCAAGCAGGGGAAATCCAGTGCAATTCCCTTGACAATTGCTTGGAGCTGCAATCTGAGCATGCTGCCCAATCCCTTGTTTTTCTACCCAGGAAAAATTATTCACATCACCTCACCGAGAGAGCTTTTAAATACTTGTTCGGTGCATCCTCTCCATGCTGCAAAGCATTTGCAGATTTCCCTGTTTTTCAGGATTGTTTTTTGGTAATTCAAAGGACTGTGTAGCATGCCCCAATTTTTCAGACTTTGCACCTCAAGAAGGTTCTCCAAAGGCTTTGGCCTCTGGTTCTCCTTTGCTGTTCTTTCTAGATGTTTTGCAAGGCTCTTTCTGTTCTTGCTCTATGTGGCAATTTTGGCTAATTTTATCTGCAAAAGCAAAACCACTGGGTTCTGCATGCTGGTAACCCTCTGATCCTTCTGCAGGAGAGGAGTCAATCTTTTCCATCCAGGTGAAGTTCTTGGCTAGTCTCCAGCATCTCCGTTTACATGATGACCCAGAAGCTGAACCTCACCAAGACTAAGAGCACTGAGAGCCCGACCTGTGTTCAGCGTGCTGAAGGGTCCATTGATGGGTGCCTTCCCATCTATGGATTGTCTTTAAACATATAATGCATTTTCTTTCATGATGGCTCTTACTCGTCTGAGCTGGACACGGTCACCCATCAATATCGCCCGTTCAAATATGCCCCCCAAATAGTAATCATGATAACCCCAATAATATAATGCCCCGCTTTGGGATGCTTTGTGTACGCTGCTCGTGTTCCCCTTGTGTTCCTCTGCCCTGCTCCCGTTCAGTCCATGTGTGCTCCTCAGGCTGCAATTTCAGTCTGACATAGAGGCGGTAAAACACCTTGTTCCCTGCTACCTAAGACTTTAATAACAACTTTTCTTCAGAGATTCGTGTTTACTTTCTTTGCTTCAATTTTGTCATCCACAAATATGTTCATACTTGAGTCGGAGCAGCAGAATGCCAAACAAAAGGAGGAAAAACCAAGCAAACCCCACTAGGCAGCAGCGCTTCATTAAGTGCCTGGCTCAAGACCTCCGGGAGTTCTGGGGGGATGTTCTGGACACTGTCTGAAAAATGGCAAATGCTTCTGTAGCAGGAGATGAGGAAGCCTGAAAATCACGTGGAGAGCTCAGATATCTTGGGTTAAGGGAAAGGTGACTTTGTGAAGTAATCTTTATTGGAACAAGGGGCTAACCACCATAAAGCGCTTGCATGCCAACATAGTTAACATAAAGCCACGTGCTTTTCTTCTCGTAAAACAGGTAAGATATGTAGGTGGTTTTCTTCTTTTTTTTTCTTAATTCACTTTTTCTTTGCCTTTTGTTTAGAAAGCTGTAGATAGAATTAAGGAAAGTTTTAAGGTCACCTGTTCGTTTTACTAAGCTGCGTTTTGTGAGTCCTCCGTTCAGCGTGTCCTCTGCAACTCGTGGTTTTGCCACAGAGCTAAGACTTGGTGTGCAGGGTTAGCAGCCCAAGTGAAGCCTGTTGCTACTTTTCGGGGCTTCAGAAAAGAAAACTCTCTGCTCAAGTGCCGTAATGTACCATCAGTGTAGCCTGAATCCCAGCATTCAGGTGTGGATAGTGCAAATTAAAAAGTGCTGTCAACTGCTAGAAAATCAAAGAAAGGCTTGAAAATAGTAAAGGGCAAAGACAGTGTCTCCTTATCTCCTTTGTGGGTAAATGCTGTATCGACCAGTTGTCATCTCAGTAACGCGCCTGGATCGTGGTGTGGTGCCTCTGAATTAAAAGCATTGCCCTTCCTGGCCTTGGGCGTCATGTTTGTCAACTTTCAAAGGAGTTACAAAAGAAAAAGCTAAGTATATATGTTTACTCATAAATATATATATGTTTCAAGACATTCTAGCTGTGTTTGTAGTTTTTGTTGAATGAAATAATCTGTGTTCTGATGCTTACGTGCATGTAAATAGAAGGCAGAGGGGCATGCTGAGGACTTGCAGGAAACTGTAAAGCAGTAATTGTGCCAAGGAGTTATTCCTGATCTTGATATTTGGTAAATCTGCGCTGTGCTTATATACATCTCTCTAAAATCTGCTCAGATTTTCTGCCTCGTGAAGAGTAGTAAATTCCAAATTGGATTCAGCAGAGGTCTCTAGGTGACTTTCGTAGCACTTAAGAAATCCAGTGGGCATGACAGAAGGAAAATGAACAACAAACAGTGTTTGAAAATTGTTTGAAATAGCATCATCATCTTTCTTTTGCAGAAAATGTTGCTGTCCTGGTCTGTAGCCATGAAGAGAAGGGGGTGAAGCAAGTCTGCCTGGAGAAATCAGAAGTTCTTGGAAGTTTCAAAGGGGCTTAGTGCCAGCTGCTGCAGAAGGTTTTGCCAAGCCAACCCAGATGAATAGATGAAATGCCTCGAACTTAAGTGGTAAATATTTTTTTGATATCTCTTCATTTCCCTAATACAGCTTCCTCAGATAACTTGTATGGATTATAGAGGATTTTGTTCTTACACTACCAGAATTTAAACAGAGTAATTTTACGAGAGCTAAACACTGGATGAGTCTGTAATTCTGTGAGCTTCATTTATTAGCAAGCAGCTGGAATCTTAGACTTTGAGTATTTGATGGTTTATGTTGCAATTTAAAGAAATTTCTTCCTGAGGGTTCTTCCTATCTCCTCATGGCTGAAATATGAGGTTAGATTTTTGTTACTGCGGTGTTAGTGAATGGCTTCCTACCCAATGTCAGGCAAAACTACAGTTCAGGATAAGCTGCGGAAGCATCTCGGTACCTGCTTTTAGTCGCATGTCAAGGAACTTGTCAACTCCTGAAACATAGCAAGAAACCTAAAACGCACCTAGGTTAATACTGGAGAAGGAGACAATGTTGTCGTCACGACAATGTGCTCCTCAGAAATACAAAAATGTGATACTTAAAGGTGGTGAAAAGACCCCAGCTTCTCTCCATGGTTTTAGTTATAATGAAGTAATTTTAGACATTTCAATAAGCAAAAAATACTTTCTGGTCTTTAAAGCTTGTGATATCTGCTTTTCCTTTGCTGACTGTCCATTAGTCGTCTATGATTATATTAGCTGCTTAATGTAAATATAATCTGCTTAGTGTAAAATGTAAATACATGACTCAAGGACTTGCTTGTTAATGTAGCTCTTATTGAGAGTCATCAAACAGCTCTCAAGCTGTAGTAACTGTGCCTTTGTAAAAATGGGTGGCATTTAAACACTGACTAAAAATAAAAGGCTTAAAAGCACATAAAAAATAGCTCATCTTTAGTACTTCAAGACAATGTTTTGCTGTCTTGGGAGAGAAGAAAGCCAAGGAGTTGTGTAGAGGGCAGTTCTCAGAGCTGCACTGAGCCTCGTGTGTGGTGGAATCTCCATCAGGCCGGTTGTGCTGATGGAAACCAACCACACAGCTGAGTCTAGCAAAAATGACGTATCTGCATGTGGATTCCACTTGCCATACATCAACAAAGAAGGAATCTGTGTGTATGTGGGGATATACATATATGAATATATATCTATTCATATATGTGGCCAGAATTTCAAAGATTTAAAGAATGCAGGTTTTCAGGATTTTACAAAGGTGCTTTCTTGCACTCGGCTCCTTTATTTGAGGGGACAGAAAGAGGGAGGGAGGAGGAGAAGGGAAGGAGGCAGATCTGGTTGTTGTCTTGTTCTCGTTTCCTAGACAAACAAGGACAGCATTCCCAAACCTTACAGATATTTGGACTGGATAGGGGAGAAAACTAAGGTATCTAGCCCAGCAGTATTACAGACTGTGTTGACTCTTTGGCAGGGAACTGTCAGTGTCACTAGAGAATAATTCTTTCTAGGAAGATAGAGGTAAGGATTTAGGAAAGATTCAGCATTGGGATAACATTCCCTCTTTGCAATCCACATTATTTGCTGCTGCTTATTTGACCGATGCCTTGTTTGGTCAGGGGTTTCCCACCTTTAAAGGATCCTTGCCTTAGCATGGGTTGTGGTTTTTATTTAGTTTTCCTACTGTGCCGGGGGAGAGGGAGGACCTGCAGATCCCACTCGTCTGCAATGGTGGCAAATGAAGCTCAGAAAGGAATTATAAGCATAATATGTGACATTTTATGTCATGTTTGTCCCTTATTTTTGACTTTGTGCATATATTAGCAGACCTCTAACTTATTGGTGAGTCTATGGAGAACAAGAGGACGAGACGATTTTGATTCTCATGCCTCTGTTTTGCCAGAGCTGTGAAACTGGGGTGCTTCCGTGAGCTTGCAGGTTTCCAGAAGGCTCTAGAAAGACTGCAGGTATGAGCAGGACAAGTTAAAAAGCAGCGCTGATCACAAGCTTGCCCTCACCGAGGAAAATATGCTGTCTTGGCATGTCTTATTCAGCAAGTTAGGTGAAGATATAAATAGCCTACAACTGCCATCCTTTCAGAGTAAAAATCCACAGCAAATTGAAAGGAGATCCTTTGTTTGTCACTTTGTACCTTGTTGCCTGGCAGGAAAAACACCTTTTCTTTAGGCATGCAGCGTTTGTCAAAGTAGCACTAATTGTAATTGCATCAGGGCTAAGGGCTTCCACAGAGGAAGCCGTTTCCCATCATTGTTTCAGTGTTCAAATAATGGTTATTTAGGTGGTGCAAGCGGCTGTCGGCGGTGCCGGAGCAGGCATGGGCGTGCGGTGCGGCGGGCGGCGCGTGCTGACCCGTGGTGACAGAGCGGGGGCGCGGGGACCTCGCCTGCGAGGGAGCTCGCCCAGCCCCAGAACACATTTTTTCCATTTGACTCACCCAGTGAAATCTAAATGAGCGATAAAATTTCTAAAATTAATGTGCAATTGGTTAGAATAATAAAAAGTGGATTTATCATCAGGAAGGAAGAGCAGAATAAGGGGAAAGAATCTAAGGAGAGGAAATCGCCACCTTCGCCAAACAAAGAAGGGCTGTGAGCAGCTCAGCGCCCTGTGCTCCACAGGCTGCTCCATCCGCGAGCCACACGGTTAGTTAGCAGGGAGAGAGATTTTCGGGAAGGGAGGTTAGCAACCTCCTTTCCCACACCCAGTACACACGCGTTTTTGTCTGGGGGTGCTTTCCATCGAGAAGATACTGACCGAAGCGCGTGTTTGCGTAGGGTAAGTCCTCATATCAGATGCTGCCCCGTGCGTATGTGAGAGGAAACGGCCCCCGATTGCCACAGAGCTCCTTTCTCCCCGGGAACAAGCCCAGCCTTTGTTTCCTCTCTTTGACTTGGCTCGCCGAGAAAGGAAGGAACAGAAAATACTGGCACCGAAGCAGGCTGATATGATTGCTTTATGCTATGGATAGAGCTAAGTACCTGTGGAGGAGGAGGAGCACAGGCTTTAAGTGTATTTTTGAGATAATACTCTATAGGAATGTTTTTATGATTATTTCCTTCTTGCATGCCTGAAACACTAAACTTCGACTCTCTGGTTAATTATTTTGCATTGTCGTTTGAAAAAATGTCCGTTGCACAGGCACTCCTACTAATAGGGAGAATTCCCTGGTGTAAATGAGAGGAATACTTACAGAAAATAATAGTTTGGATGGCGTGGAAGACAAGCTTATTTTGTGTGTTTCTTGCCTCAAATAGGTGAGCTGTGTTCCTCCTCATATACTAAGAGCCAGAGAATTATCCTTTGCTATACCAGGAAAAGATAGGGTAACAGTCCCAAGAACGTGTACACAAAACAAAGATTTGTAGCTCAGTCTCAGAAGCAGATGGAAATTCAGGATGGATTTGGGTTCAGGGGGTGTTTCGACAAGGAGATTGTTCTTTCTCTGTGTTCAGGCTTGCTACTTTCTCGGGTCCGGCTGGGGTTTTTCAGCTGAGGTTTAAATGCCTAAAGATGATGATGACTCAAAATAGAAACACTGACAAATTAAACAACAGTAAGATAAAAATATTTAATAAATGTTCCTAAAACTAATTACTCTCCACCAGGCAAGTTAATTTTTCATTAGCTGCTTTACGGTCTCCATTTTCATTTTGCTTACTTCGAAATCCGTCCCATCACAGGTATGCTGTAACTAGTGTCCTTGTCAGCTCATGTGATAGAGGGATATTGCTGCTTGTGTGTGCATTAAATTCCTGGTGATGTGATGACACTCCCTGGGAACTTCAAAATAGGCAGGACCAGCAAAGGGGAAAAATCATCTCGTGAACCTTTGGAAGTGCCAAACGAGCACTGCTCTGTTTTGAACAGGTCCCCGTGTTTTACATCACAGGGCTGCTGCACATCAGGTATTTTGGCTTTTATTTTTTTTATTTTATTTTATTTTATTTTTTTTTGGTGGGACAGTGGATCTCCCTTTTGGGAGCAGGGAATTGTCAGTGGCCGGGAGATGAGGGGTCTGGCTTAAAGGGAGGTCTTCAGTTTTCGTTTGCTCTGTTATTCCTAACAAAATCACCCTCCTTTAGTTTCCATCATATGAAACTAGTATGTTTTCTTTTGTCATTTCATTTATTAACTGCTTGCTTGGTACCTATGGCTAGAAATGCTTTGCTGTTCCAAAGAGCAAGTTCGACAAATATTTCAGATTCTGCTAATTAAGAGATTGTGCTGATTAAGAGACTGACTGACTTCTAAGGTGGAAAAGGGTACGCTTCCCCTCCGAGTCTGCTGCAAACGGGAATCATTTTGTTTAAATAATCGTTTTCTTGTTGCACTGGAGGAAGATTCCTGATGCAGTTGCCCTAAGGTGAGGTTTTGCTGGGGCTACCCCCTCGCCACCCCTGTGGGGCCACAGCAAAATCCAGCCCTGCGCTGGGCTCCGAGCCGATGGCTCCTTTGGGATTTCGGCAGCTTCAATGGGAATTTCCTCAACTCTTTCTGCAGAACTCTCTGACAACGCCTCCCGGAACAGCAGCGATACAGAACAGCCCGATCATCCCTGTCTTAAATTTGCACACTTGATCATGTGTATTTTAAGCGGGAACATTTCGGCAATGCGTAGGTACGGGCTTTCATCTACCTGAAAATCATTCCAGAAGGACGTGGCTTGCCTTCTCCTCCAGCAGTGTTGTATATCATTTCCAATACGAGCGTTAATCTAAGCTTTGCAAAGCTTTCAGTTTTAATCAATTGCTTTCCATTTCTGGCAATAAAAGTTCTGTATATTCTTCAGGGGGAAACTGCGGGTTACCGTTTAACTTAAGCTGCTGTGGCTGATGCTCTGCGGTATGAGTTACGGTGGCATTCAGAAAATATTTAACCAAATTCATACTTTTCCTGCTGGAGGACTGTGTTAGGCTGTGTTTAAACATAACTGGAATTGTTTGTTTCAATCCTAGATAAGGCATGAGGATAAATAAATTAGAAAATAAGAATACCTATTATAAATGCTTCAGATTCTTACCCCCTCACCCAGAGGGTTTTAAAACGTGGTAAGTATGCGCTGC